TCGGAATACTTGGAGCTTCTCTTTTCCATCAGTTCGCGGGCTACTTTGGGACAGCTCACTACTACGATTGGTTTATTGAATATTTTGACGAAAAACAAATTCCCTATCCAGAGGAGAGCGGTCGTGTCAATAGCAGTATCTGTGTCCATGAAGGCCGTGTTTACCGTATTTCTTGGCCCATTGTGCGAAAACTTTGAACTGATATTCGGAGGGAAGTTGATGGAGGTTTCCTAGCAGAGGAAGTGGCTTTGGACCGAGGGGGAGTCGGCGGTTCGCACTATGCTTGCCACGGGAAGAGACAAGGATGGTGAGCACGAGGAATGAGATGAGAGCGAGGATGATTTCAGAGTTGAAGGGAACTGACATTGTCGACGAGCTGAGTCGCCAGAGGGCGGCTGGGCGGCTTTTATACCGTCAATTTTCATTAGGTTCGGGACCGACGTCTTGTGGATACAACAAAGTGCGAGCTCGGTCCATGAACGAAGAGGCACGATTTGATGCCCCTTACCTCGGCACTAGACTGCTTTGCGATTCAAGTTCAGACATCCGGCAAGATTTGGAACGTCTGGAGGCGATTCCTGGCACCGCACCGCACCGCACCCAGAGATCGTCCTGTCCGGTAGGTGAACTGAATCTCCTCTCATGGACTCTCATCGACATGTTGGCCAAGGGCGGCGAGCCGTTGCGATCGGACAACATCATTTGAATGAAATCCGAGCAGAGTCGCTGCCATCTCCGACATGCCCGAACACGAGGCAAGAGCCGAAATCGACTTGTGCGGCAACTGGAGAGCGGGCTGGATGTGAGTGGTGTGAAGTTAGGCATTTGCAGCCAGATGACGTCCCATTCCAGATGTGGTCAACCTTTCGTGCTCTGACGCATGTGAACAGATGATACTATACAACGGGCCAAGCAACAATACTGGCTATCTCCATACTTCAGCAGCATGAACGTTACCGACTTGCACTACATAATAACGTCAGGGTTGTACAAGGCGATGGTTTCTTTCGCCTTCTCTGATCGCGGTACAATGTCACATTGGAAGGGAGCAACGTGACTGGGCGAGTATGAGCACACGATAGAATATTAATATAAAAACAAACTCGTACCTAATAACGCCATCCGCAAAATTTACTTCTGGTGTAATTTCCTCTCCCGCCACAGTTCGTGCCTTGCGTATGTCCAATGTAGATAACATATTCGCCGCGGCTAGCCAGACACTAGAATCACCCAAGTTCCGGCCAGGACAGATTCTACACGAGATCGTCTTCAGTTTTGCTTGTACGACATGAAGTGAGGCTTCTTACCGCCTGCCGAAACCGAAGATGAGTTTAGCCGGATCGTGCTCGTCCATCGTCTTAGCATCGAGGTGTTCGAACCGTTCTGGCCAAAAACGGTCTGGCTCGGGATAAACATCTGTATTTCGTGTCATGGCCCTGAGCGCCGATAAGCCTCGAAATTGTAGCTTAAATCATATCCACTCACCAAATGTTCGGAACTATGGTAGATCCTGCAGGGATATGGAATCCGTGATACTCATCGTCTTCCATCAGCCGGTGAGGTATTGCTGCAATATCTCAGGTCAATGCACATATCCCGTGCTAAAATATTCGATCGACTTGCCTAGCGGTAGGGGAGGCGCCCAGCTACAATTCATGGGGTCAGAGAATGTTAGGGTGTTGTCAAACACGTACGTACCGATATACTTCTTTGATAACACACTCGAAGTACGGCAGAGACGTCCTGTCATCAAAGTCCACGAGTCGTGATGGCCCCACAGCCTGATCGATTTCGGCTTGTGCTTTCTTGCAGACATCTGGATGTAAGGTCATAGCCAAAATGAAAGTCATCAGGGCGGTAACAGTCTGTTGCATGTAATGAGATGATGAGAAAAAGAACCGAGGAAGTGTTCACGCTACCGTATCAGTACCAGCTAGAGCAGAACACACGTTCTCAGAAACCCTCATCGGAGACTAACAGGGTTCGCACTCGCCTCCGTATACCATGATCCCAGCACCCTTCAAGTGTCGCTCATCTATTTTCGTTGGATTCCCATCCGCTGAAGCCTCCATAATCAAAGACGACAGGAACGACTTTCTTGCATGGCCGGCGGCCTGAAGAACCATGAGCAAACCATGTATTAAATATAGCTTCAGGCTCACTATCTCTTTCATCACCCTGTCATACGGAACATCCCATGCGGCTCGTACCAAATGTTCAATTTCGATTGTGCGTCGCTTGAAACTAGACATCCAAGCAGGGGTAAACTTTACTGACGTCGTCGGAAAAGGTGTGAGAACATATGTCACAGCACAGCATACTCCGGTTGCTTACAGATGGGGAAGAAGTCTACAAGTGTTGTGCCTGCACCCCCAAGTTCGAGGGCTTCAGAAGTGGCCATATCCGCTAGCTTTACATACTCCTCGTCTGTGCCTACGTGTCCATAGGCAATTTCCAACATCGCTGTTCCTAGAGCCCTGTACACAGCATGGAATCTAACTGACGAGGGATAAGGAAGCCCCGCGTCACATACCTCTTTACATGAGCTCTGAAGTCGTGCGGCGACTCGACCAGGCCTAAGAGCAAGCCTTGAACCATGCTCTGCTGGAGAGGTCGAAAATTTTGCCTTGCAGATTGCACTTGAAACGCATTTTGGAACCATTTTCGGTGACGCCGCCAGTCATTGCCGTATGGCAGCAGAAACAATATTGGACTCATGCCAACACTAGCATGTACCAATAAGATTACTGCGCCATAATGATCAGCGCGCTTACAGTTCGCTGAGCACGACTGTGCGGGGCCTATCGGAGTATTTTGAGCTCCTCTTCTCCATCAGTTCACGGGCGGCTTTCGCATCGTTAACCACCAGAACCGGCTTGTGGAATATCTTGACAAAGAACACATCGCCTGCAAAAGCCGACGTATCAGTATAGACGTAAAGTAGGTATGAAAACATAATTGCACCGTATTGTCTAGCCCACTGGGTGAAAACCTTGTATTGATGTTGAGATGGAAGCTGGTGAAGATTTCCCAGCAGTGGAAGCGGCTTTGGACCAGGTGGAAGTCGAGGGTTGACACTGCCCGTGAGATAAGAGACGAGGATAGCGAGCAGGACGAGAGAGGCGACGACTTCCAGATTCCAGTCGGCGGACATAGTCTACTGTGCTCATGCGAGTATGAGGAGAAGTTTCTATGATATCAGCAATATTAAAGTTTGGCCACGACGTGTGGTCACGGACTGTACACTCATGGGACAGATAAGATACAATGACATGGAAAGCTCTGCAGGCACTGATGCCACGCATCCTGTCGCAAGACGTTCTCCCACCTACGGTCGATTCTGATGCCATTGCACGAGAGCGGATCGGCAAATGAGAGGCCAGGTGATCCCAGTGCCTGTACGTACTGGAATCCAGTCATTATATTACATCAACTACTGGATACATCTGACGCACGTGCGTGAGCATTTGAAGACGGACAGCAAACAGAAGATGCCATACTTGTACTTATAACCTTCACGCCTTCCCAACCGCTACCCCGCCGTCGAGGGTGGCCGACACCATACTTTGTGATACTTCCATCCTGGCAAGTGGCACTCGGGACAAAAACATGCATCCTTGCACTTCGAGCAACGCGTCTCAACGCCTGCTTTACCACAATATCTGCAAAAGTTTGCCTGCCCACTCACGACTTGTATAAGGCGATTCAACACCATTTCCGTTAGAGCGTCACCATGCTGTCGAATCCTGATTGGGAGCCGAATCTTTTCAGATATTTTCATTTATTCCAGTTCAGCCGCGTATTTGCTGAGAACCCTATGATGGTAGTTTATCCCCCGCTCCAGTGCAAAGAGCTCGCCGCCGCCACCCCTACCACCAATCTGAGGCAAGGCTAGGTCGAATACGACTCGTGTGTCTCTTTCGTGTGTCTCTTTCTAGGCCCGCAGAGTGCGGCTTCCCAACCAATAGGTACACCCAGGGCATGGGGATGTCAAACCCAGAGAGATGTTGTGTCATATTGATGAATGTAGGTCCAAGATGTAGGCAATGCTCGTAAACGACCATGAGACATGCCTCCCGAGGGTAAATGTCGATTTCGGCGACGACCACATCCGACAGAGCGCAGATGATCTCATAACCCGATGATGTACGGGCGCGGAGTCGGGCCGTCGATGGGAGCCGTTCAAACACCCTCTGCGCCGCATAAGCCAGAACATACCCGTTATCGTAACTTTTGCATCGCCAGAATATGTTCTCGAGCTCGCGACGCGTGAGCGCATTACCATTAGGGGTCTTAACGCCGCTAGGATCGGCAAAGGTGCTGATGGTGACACGTTCACCATCAGATGGATTGGTACGAAGAATGTAGGTAATTCTTGACTGTCCTCTAGTAACGGTGTGGTAGTGAAGGGGGAGAATGTGCGAAGGGAGCGTTTGAAGCGGGATAGGAGCCTTTGCGACCTCGGTGAGCCGTGCATTGGCAAACCTGCCTCCAATACGAGCATGACAATCAAGAAGTATGGCAGCAAAATCATGCAAGTCGAGAACATAATTCTGGGGGAGGAGAGAGGCTGCCATGCTTTGCAGAACGAAAACAGCAGTGAGAGTGGCTAGAGCAACTTGCAGGAAAATCCGCGCTAGGAGCGCCGTAAGTGAACTTGGTTGGCCCGCCGCGTGGTCGATCAATCGAAGCTAAAGCCCGCCCAGACAACAAGAAAAAGCTTGTTTAGCATCGCTAGGGAGGGCACAAAAGAACCGAGACCCGTAGCAGGGACATGAACAAGTGAACACAGTGGAATTTCAGACCCGTCGCCGTCCCGTGACTCGCTGTGGATTTGTGCCGCCATTTCTCCGATCGCAGATCGTTCGCGGCTTCTGGATGCTCGACCCCTCTCCACGAGCTCGAGAGTACAGTACTCGAGCACAGAAATCTGCATCACAAGACTGCACATAGCCGATTCTCCCTACGGGCCGCGCTTTCCTCTCAAGAAATATGTTCCGCTGTTCATCTTCTCTCGTCACCTGCATACACTCTCCTGTCATCTGATCTCTGAAATCACCCTTAAACATGCATTCTCATGTGCTGGACTCCCCGAAGAACGGGTCAACGGGTCAGCTACCCCACTGTCGCGTGCCGTTTTCTCGCTGGACTCGACATCTTAAGCTCGAGAGCCTCAGATTCTACCCCAACCACACTGGCATAGTCTAGCTCCCACTTCTAGCTCTACGCGATGCTGAAGCAACTCACGTCGTTGGTCTGCATATCTCTTGTGGTCTTGAATGCTTTGGCGCACAACAATGGACTTGCGCTTACGCCGCAGATGGGTTGGGACACTTGGAATTACTACGGATGTAGCATCTCAGAGCAGACAATCCTGGATGCCGCCCAAGGTTTCATCAAATACGATCTACCAAAGTACGGATACAACTGTACGTACAAAGCTTGAGATGTCTTTCTGTGTACTGTACTGAGAGTAGCGATTATGTAGACGTTGTTATGGATGATTGTGAGTGCTACAGGCTGTAGTTTTCATCCATGTGCAAATGTCGTCCCTGTATTTAGGCTGGCAAGCACCCGCGCGCAATGCGACTACTGGTGCACCTATAGCAGATCCCACGAAGTTCCCATCAGGTATGAAGGCGTTAGCAGATCAGATACATTCCATGGGTCTCAAGGTACGCGCCATCGTCTTCTCAATTAGCAAACATACTTAATGATGGTCAGTTTGGTATCTACAGCAGTGCGGGAATGTGATTGATACCCTCTATCTATAATTCATAACTTGCTGACTGCGCGATCCGAATATAAAGGTACACATGCGGTGGCCATTTTGGGTCATTAGGTTACGAGACGATCGACGCGCAGACGTACGCGGAGTGGGGAGCTGACTATCTCAGTATGTTGTACTTCAACAATCGATTTAGAGCCCTTCCTGACGAAGCCGTGCTCAATTTGATATCGGTCAGAATACGACAACTGCTACAATGAAGGACAGGCAGGAACTCCTAAACTCTCTTATGATCGATACGCCAACATGTCATTCGCGCTTAACGCCACCGGTCGCCCGATTCTGTATTCGATGTGTAACTGGGGTGAAGATGGACCTTGGAACTTCGCACCTGTATGTTTTCAAATTTGCTATATCACGATGTTGCTTAGATGTGCGTCAAAACAGACTATTGCGAACAGCTGGCGTATATCTGGCGATATCTATGATGTGCGCCATTCCTCACGTCTGCAAATTGGCATCTACGTGTTGCTGACTAGTACCCTATATTTATTCGTTACAGAACTACAATCGCTTCGACGAGCGTTGTCCATGTCTGTCTATGATCGATTGCAAGCTTGCTGGATATCGTGAGCTTGCACCTTCGTGTCTCTGATCTCGCAGTCTATGAAGCGTATTCTCCCAGATTGCGCAATGACGCGCATCATCGATTTCGCGGCCCCAGTGGGCCAGAAAGCAGGCACCAACCACTGGAATGATCTGGATATGCTCGAAGTGGGGAATGGTGGGATGACCTATGATGAATATGGTGCGTAGATATATATGACGACTGACATCACCTATTCACAGATTTGTCTCTCTACAGTCACGCACTTCTCCATGTGGAGTATACTGAAGAGCCCGCTTATTCTGGGAAACAATGTCTTGAATATGGTCCGTGATTGTCCATTCTTTCTTCTCGAGTGACTGAACTGATATGTTGGCTTGCCCAACTCCAACAGACAAATGAGACTCTTGAAATCATCACAAACGATGCTATTATTGCTGTGAACCAGGACTCCACGGGATCGGCTGCTGAACGCATGTGGAAAGTTCCAGTTTTCTCAGGCGGAGATCTCTCATCGTGGTCCGGCAGCCTAGTAAATAAGTACGTCCGGCGGCCCATTAGTATCGCCCGAATCCTTGCTTACTTCTTTCTGTACCATAGCACGTTTGTTATTGCGCTTTTGAACACTTCGCCGGAAACACAATATGTCACTGTGAACTTTACAGACGTCTTCATCGACCAAGTACGCTCCTGCCTTTCACCCTCTTGTCCACTGAATTTACCAATTTTGCAACAGGGCCCCTCCTACCAAACAGGCACTTATGTGATCTACGATCTTTGGCAGAAAGACAGCGCAGGTGCCTGGGGAAAGGATATTGGTACATACACCGCTGCCATCCCGGATGTAGAGATCGGCATGCACCAGGTGCGTATATGGAAGGCGGTGCCGGCATCGACAAATAGCCGGCGGGATTTGGCGGAGCTGTAAGGTTGTTATGCCAGACAAGAAAGCTTTGTACGCTCAACGGGGCTAGTAGATGTAGTGATATGCGGTATGAAGATGTCTGGACGCACCAAGTCTTGATGAAGTTCCAAAAAGGTTCCAACTCGAGGGATATATAAACCGTTGGTTCCCATCATAAATGCCGCAATGCACCTTAAATGAACATGCGCATAAGAATTAGAGTACACCGCTGTTGCAATACTTGATTGTAACACCTACCAAGCCGAATGTTGCGGCACAAATGACATTTTCGTTTTCTCTTCAGGGGTAAATGCCGAGTGGGCAACCGATATGCACAGCTGCAGGTTACGACGTGATGATCGCGAGAAACAGGCCTGCCTTCAAAGCAACAGAACGGTAATTATGAGCAAGGTCTCTCGTGAACTAGCGATCTATCGGATAGGCCGATAGGTCAATACAACGGTCCCACTCTAGTGGCAGAGTATAGACTGTGACCGCCCTTTGAACATGGGATCATACAGGGGGGAACGATGCCGAACACGCGCAATGCGGAATATAACCAACAATTGATTCATCCTCAAGCAAATTGATCCACGGCCAGATGGCTAAACCTCAGGTCCCGAAGAATATATGTCCACGATGCTGGAAGAGATCAATTGTATATTTCGAAAATCGAAAATTGTCTCTCTCAAAGAACGCAGCGATCGAGGGAGGCACGGAAGAAACACAATATGTGGGTCACTACCAAACTTTTGGGATTGTCATTCAAGTTACACAATTGTGGAACCAGGACCACGTCCCTGCTTATCAGAATTAGCAAACTGGTTGGCATCACGTCGTTTTCAGTTTTCCAAGTGCGGTCTTAATACATACTTTACAAAGCTTGGCATCCTTTGCACCCTTATTCTGCGATTCGTAGACGATGATTAACTCAGGTCCAATGGTCGAAACACAGCTCAATTCTACAGTGGGAACTGAGTAAGAAAGAGAAGACAGTCACACAACTTCCGATGACAGTATGAACAGTAGAATCGAGCAAGTCAATGACTTTCAACATGAATGAAAGTGAACTCAGCCAACCATCGTCAGCATGTTGAATGCCCTCAAACGCAGCTGCCCAGCCGATACTCACAACTTGGGAGTGCTCTGGAGCTTTTCCCTTGTCAACGAGAATACGGTTTCGCGCAGCCTTTCCCAGCGTCGCGCTGTCCATCACATGAGCAGAGATCCCCGCATCTTAAGCCGAAAGCAAGCGGGTGTCTGGAGTACGGTGATAGAATTCAGCGCGAGTGCTCCGCGCAGGCTCCGCTTATGACGAAGTAGAGACTTAATATCACCACGAAATGCGAGGCGTTCTAGATCCCAAGGCGCTGAGAGAAGATTCGCCGCAAAAGGTATGGCTGATGCGGCCGCAGTCCTGAACGCAAAGTGTCAGAGCCTGAAAACCCAGATCTTAATAGAATCTAAGAGTCGGGCAGGTCTGGAATAGGCGCCAGGAAGCGTCGGGATGTCGGGGCACGTGGCGTCGCAAACATCCGGAAGTTTGACGCCACCCTATTCACTCATAGCGGTCGCCCATCATCGCGGCGGACTCACCTTCTGCTAATTCCCTATCATCTCAGGCTCTGTGAGTGATATAAGAGAATGCTTTTTGACCCAGAAACTGCGGGCGATTTAAAACCTTGGCTGGTCAGGAACCTCGAGCCCATGTACGCATGTTTTTATTGTGACATTTCCTTTGAAGATTTGCTGATTCATGACATAGTTGCGATGCGGAACCTGGTGCACTTGCAGATTACATCCTGGCCTTGCTGAAGCATAATGCTCCAGAGGCCGACCTTCGAAAGGAGTTGGGTGCTCAATTAGACGAGTTCCTGGAAAAAGGTGCGGACATATCATGGTATATTTTTGCGTCGACTATTTACATTTGCTGCAGAAGGACCATCTTTTCTGAACACGCTCTTCACGGCATTGCGGACCAAATCTTATCTTCCATACTCGGCTGCTTCTCCTCCTGCTGGCAACGCTTCTGGCACACTCTCCACCGATACAGGAATACCCATTCCACTGGACGCGCTACTTTCCCCGTCTGTCCCTACAACACCGGAACGCGGTCGAAAACGCAGTCATGATCACGATGAACGCGACTTTCTTCCCACCAAAGGCCCGCGTCTGAATCATGAAGGCCAATTCTCGCGGTATGGCCGACACGACAACAGATCGTCATGGGGTGGTCGCGGAGAACGTGGTAGCAGGATGGCTATCGCTGGGCGGGCAGATTATATGGATGGCGGCATGAATAGTAGCATAGGTGTGGGCGCAGGGGGCGGTACCATGGGCCCATCCAACCCGCGCGGTATCCCAGCATATCAGGATCGGGGTAGGGGAGTTTGTCGAGATTACTTCAGTGAGCTTCATCCTTTGCTCGTCTGGTTTATTCTAACTGCCTTATAGACAATGGATACTGCGCGCGAGGTGCTTTCTGCAAATATAGTCATGGTGAAGATGCCATTGTCCCGTCCCAGCTTTTCCCCATGAATGGGGGTATGAGTGTTGGCTCGATGCCATTTGTTCCTATGATGCCTAATGGTGGCATGGCAATGGGGATGGCCGGTGGGTCCAATGCTGCCTATGACCCTCATGAACGGATGGACATGCGGCCAAATCAGGGACCAAATCCCAACACGATCCATCGACCTCCTAACTCCCGTGGACCCGCCATATCTCGACAGGACGATTCAAACAATGGAGCAGCACAACATCCAGGCGAGTTACCTGTTGTGCGAGACCTCACGCCTCAAGTTCCCCGAGAAGAGAGCGTCTCTCGACATATGGGACAGGACGGGTACGGAGAACCCAGAATACCGGATGTTCCTGGTCCATCAAGGGGAAGTGATATCGTAATGGGCGGTATGAATGGAGCTACCCAGGACATGGATATGAACGGTCCTCCTGCGTATTCAAGTAATCGGGGGCCTTACCGTGGGGGGCGTCCGGGGGGTGGCCGTGGCACCTTTGGTGGCGAGGTTCAGAGTTTCAGGCCGGAGAAACGAAACGACAAAACACTCGTTGTGGAAAAAATTCCAGAAGACAAATTGAGCCTGGGCTCCGTTAACGAGTGGTTCAAACGCTTTGGGACGGTCACCAATGTCGCAGTTGACGCCATGAATGCCAAGGCGCTAGTGAGCTTTTCTAATCATGACGAAGCCCTAGCTGCTTGGAGGTCGGAGGACGCCGTTTTCGGAAACCGCTTCGTGAAGGTGTTCTGGCATCGACCACTAGAAGGCCACGGTCAAGTTGGTCAGCGCATGCTCGCAGCATCCGCACCTCTGGTAGCCAATATTTCTATCAAGGACTCCGCGTCCCCTGCAACGACTACATCAGCGGATTCTTCCGTTTCTCAGCCTGTGGGAGCAGCTTCAACACATGTGCGTAAGACTTCCACGACACTGGCTGCCGCCGCATTAGCCGCGAAGCAAAAACTGCTTGAGCAACAAATTGCGGAGCAGAAGTCCTTGATGGCCCAGCTTTCTAGCGCATCTCCTCCAGAGAAGAAGGGGATCATGGCTCGTTTGCGAAAATTGGGCGAAGAGATGAAGCCCTCTGCATCTGCATCTACATCCCAACCAACTCCATCCCCAGCAACAACCTCAGCTTCAGCCCAGGCTAAGAGGCCTGCAGGTGCTACACCACGACCAGAGGATAAGGAAAGGATAGAACGTGAGCGTCTTGACAAGGAGCTCGAGTTGCACCACGCAGTGGGTGCAGTAGACGGAGAAGAGGAGGGCACCGAAGAGCTGAAAGCAACATTGGCCAAACTGAAAGCAGAGGTTGGTATACGGTCGGCCCCAGGAATATTTGTGTGCTGACTATATTTATAGGCAGCAAGTCTCGGTATTACCGAAATTGCTGAGGGCCAGTACGTGGGTCCATCTGTTTATCGTCCACCTAGGGGACGAGGGCGAGGGCGAGGTGGGCGAGTACCCTTCCGTGGGGCCATGCGCGGTGGGCCACCTAGGGGAAGCATGAAGCTCGATCTCCGTCCAAAGAAGTTGCTTGTGAAGAGCGTCGGCGACAATGCCGTCCAGGCAGTCCGGGATTGGTATGAGGTATGCGCATGTTGCCCATCGCCCTCAGTTGTACAGCATAATAATTGATTATATCTATTCTTTGCAGACAACTGGTCAAGTTGAAAGCGTAGATGCTACAGATACTGGAGATGTCATTGTTGCCTTCAAAAGTAGAGCTGCTGCAGAGCAAGTACGTGATCAAAAAGCTACCGCGAGTTTGAAATTGCTGACTCGAGTTATGAAGGGGCTTGCAAAGGGAACAAATATCCCGATTGTTGGCCAGGTACAGATCTCGTGGTTTAACGTGCAACAGCCAAGTGCTGTTGCACACAAAACGCCTACCTCTGTGACAGTTCCAGAAAAGTCCAGTGTAGTGGATAAGCCTATGATGGGGTACCGACCCCCCTCACCTGACGAATCTGACGATAGGCATATGCATGAAGAGACTGCCAACGGCTGGGGTGGTGATGACGCCGAGGATGGATTTGGCATGCTATGACCGCCATGATCATACTTTCCTGCTTTTTATTCTGTATTTTCCTTTTCATAATCTGCACGAATCAGCAGCGCTTGTTGAAGCCTGCGAGACACCGCGTGAATTGGCGGTTCTGACATGTATGATCACCAATGTTGCCTAGACCACGAATCTCCACTGAAGGATTTCCGCGGCGCACGAAATGTGTCAGGGCTCTCATCGACGCATCACGTTAGAAAGCCATGGCAAAGTATTGGCATACTGTAGGTCCAAATGTATATCACAAGATGCAATGGGTTGCGGGCACCCCCAAGGTACTCCTACAATACCTTTCTCTCCTACGCAATATCAATCACAACTTACAAAAACGCATGTACCCCCCTGCATGCCGATGTATATGCGAGGCAATGCACCGTCCAGTAGTCCATGTCATAAAGATTTCCATAAAATAATGATCCAGAAAGATGATCTAGATACCGGCGTCGGTGGAACCGGAAGGCCTGCGCTCTCCAGCCTGCGTAGTATGAGAGTATCCAGAGGCATGTATCGCCATGGTAGCTCGAGGGTCCTCAATGGTCAATGCATCTAGTAACCGACGCATAGTATCTGTTTGCCCCGACATGTCTTGTTGTCCGCCACCCGAGGAATCCCCATCTCGCCTAGGAGAAGCAGACGGATGCTGGTGGGCGTCTGAGACGTGAGGAACCGGTGGCGGCGGCATTTGGGCCTCAACCGGAGACACTTGTGAACGAGGTCCAGTGCCCATGCGAGGCTGAGATTGACTGCGACGATCCAATGAACGCGATGACGGTGCCGTAGTCGATTGCGAGAGGCTGCTTGGAATTCGCGGATTGGTAGATCCACGTGCTACATAGAAAAATGAGAATGCATTTGACCATAACATTGACAAGCTCACCGGAACGCGACCGTGAGGGGGCGGCTGGCCCCACACCGCTCATGCTCGCTGACCGCATACCTACAGGGACCCACTGATCCACATGGACACTCTGTCTGGGAGAGTCGGTGTCGCTGGTATAGCTACTGCTCCTGGCGCTATTCGTCCCATCTATTGAGGGAGGGTACGGAAATGCCTCCGGAGCGAGAGGTGCCGGCAGAACAATTTGAATATTGCTATGTATACTGTGTGGTGGTCCTCGTAGTACGCTACGGCGACTTTGCGTGCTCTGAACAGTCCCAACAGAGGATGCCATCGAGGTCGGGCGCGACTGTGAGCGTTGGAGGGCACGGGCGGTAGTGCGCGAATTATAAGGCGCTCCGCTCATGGAAGCCACGTACGACGCAGAGGACGCATCCGAAAGCGGAATACTTAGTGAAGGCGGGACCTCGGCGGGATCGGGACTGGTGACACTGTACGAACTTGAATGAGAATTGAAGGGGGGATTAGGAAGTGGTAATGTATCTGCGATGAGAGGTCTGCCCAGAGTGGAAAGGTTGTCTGCAGTAGTGTCTTCCCCGATGACGCTAGCTTGTCTGCTACCGACAGAGCTGCCTGGTGTCAACGATGCATAACTATCGGTAGGATAAAAGCCGTGTTTGTAAGTTGACCCTCGGAAGCTATCCGTTTCATACAGGGGCTTGCGCTCGGCGAGGGACATGGCCTGATGTTGTCGTTCGTGGGCCAATAATTGGACAGGAGGAAGGGGATTGGATTTCCTGCGACTACATAAACGGACCAGGAAGCGCCATAGAAATAAGACCAATGCAAGAACAACAACGCAGCCACAGACAGCAGCGATAATGATAATTGTGGAAGTGGAAAGCCCACTGTTGTCGCTGTCGTTATCCCGACCATAAATATGGACGTGGGGTGAACTGTACATGATGAGGCTTGTGAGAACCAGTTGGATTTTGAGGACCAAAAAAACGAGTGGGATGATAGAATGAGCGGCTAGGTATAAAGGAGTGTTTACCGTCAACGCATGAATTGTGAGACTGCTTCAAATCTAGCAGGCAGACATTAGAATGTAGACTGCTGATAGTACCCGAGCAACTCACATAGACGCGGAGCCCGACGGCCACAGCCTGGGACGGGCAGCAAGCTTCGGAGTCAGGTTCAACGACGAGCGCCGCGGGGGGACAACAAGAAGATGCGGCTGACCGTTGCAAGGCCGAACGATGGGCAGCTGTAACGCCCCCGGCCCGCCGCGGGGCGGGAGCACGTGATCGCATCCCGACGCGCATTCCCGCTTTGGCAACTCCCGCTCGTCGACCTCGACCTCGACCCGACGACGATGGCGGCCGCTGCTGCTGCTCGCTCACGACGGTCCGTCCGGTCCTTCCACTCGTCCTCCTCATCGATTGGCGAGAAACCTCCTGCAAAGCCTATTTCCAAGCCCGCCTCCCTCCCCAGGCGTCTCCTTTTCCCGCACCTACCTCCCGACGCAGATCTCCCGCCGCTCCTGACGTCTTCCGCTGCCGCTCCAGCACTCAATGCCGAGATTTACGATGTCATCGCCCTGGCCTTACGAGCCTTTGTAAATCCTTGGTGGACAAAGCTGACGTGTTATGACAAGGACTTCCTGCCAGCAATTACACGCGTCCTCACCGCCGTGATACGCGCCATTGAGACACGTCTTATCTCTGCCGACCTTGCGGCGCTGGTCCTCCGAGATTTTCCAACATTATTGACACAACATTATGTAGATTTCCGCAATGCAAAGTCCAAGCTTCACACATCATATGCGTCTGGAGGTGCGGCCACTTTGCCGCAGCTGTTCCACCACCTCCAACCGCACATGGCAATTTCGCCAGACGGCACCATCGATGAAGTGTACGTGCGTCAGGCCATTGACCATGTTCTGAAAGCCAGTCTGCCGCCAGAAGACTACGATTCAGAAGCAGAGCGGTACATTGTCCGTGAGATCGTGCAGAGTGTGCTGTTGCGCAATGTGCTTCCGCGTGTCACCCAGCCCTGGTTTATTTACAGATTAATCCTGAGTACTTTGGGCCCGCAGCCGAGCAAGCTTGCCGAGGTACGTAATCTCTCATGCTCTGGATAGAGCGACCTTGGCGAGCATCGTTTCTTCTGTGTGTTTGTTCCTCAGGACTGAAAGCATCTGCATTCACGTTCAGCCACTTTCATCCGTGAGAATGATTTTATTTTTGGGTAGAGGTCATGCTCGTCGGAGTCGCTCAGGTGCTCTAAATGCATACCACTCACATCCATGTCAAGCCTCCAGATCTTTCGCAATTATCCTCGATAAAACCTGACAATGTGACCTCTCTACGGGCTACCTATTCCCTGCAGTCACTTGCCATATTCTTTCTCTCTGCAGTCCAATCCATCTCCGGTGCTTGTCTTATGCTTATCCATACGTACCGACAAACGAGGGACACGATCAAGAAGGTCAATGCAGCACAGTCACCCCGAAACGATCCACTCTCCTCTTTCGTCAGCCATCCCGATGATCGCACAACTACACTTGCTGCACCAGTACCCCTCACATTTCCGGGAGGGTTGGCGGCAATTAAGCCAGCATCGGAGCCCGCTGAGCTGGTGTCGCACGCACCGACGCCTATATCCGTCTCTTCCCTTCAGCCATTCACACGTAGCGGCTCAGGATCGACCGTTCAGACAGAATCCTTTCCACCTACCAGAGCGTTCACCCCTTTGGTAACGTCCGCCCCTCTTAATTATACCCAGCCGTCGCTGTCACTTCTCTTCACGCTCCTGACACCCCCTCCCACACCTGCGCCAACACTGGCGGCGAAATTCACAACAAGCACGTCAACGCGCACGATGCTTGCACTAGCTCACACACTCTCCTTGCCGCTAACGCTGTTCGAACCCTTCCTCTCGCGCCTCCTCCCTTATCTACTGTATATGCACGTTCTTTCTGTCCCACGGCTCATCGATCTGGTACGCGCCGCTCGACATACGCTCTTCCCTGAGGGCTGGCCGGGGCCTGCTCCACCGGATCCGTCTCCGGAGGAGCAAGTAGCGCTGCGCGCGGAACTCGGGCAGCGTTTGCTGACCAGCATTCCAGGTAAGGCGCCATTCTTTTTAGTCAGTCGTCTTCCTTGACGCTGATCCAAATAACGCTCCCAACTCATGCAGCGCCGGTTGCCCTTTTGCTAGGCCCGACGCCCGAAGCACAGATGTACACCATTGACGCAATGCTTGATCCGCTCTCTAATCAGAGTTGCAATGCGCACCTGGTGTTGTATATTTTAGATCTTGTGCTGCTTGCGGTCTTTCCAGAGCTGGGTGCCAGTGAGAGTGTTACTGCGGCAAGCACGGAGAGTGTGGGGCCTGCCAAGGCTTACTGATTCTGTGGTGACTCATGTATATGAGTGATAGTGGCAGACATTATTGTATCGGAAGATAAAAATACTGCTGGTGTTAGGTCGGTCCGGTGGGTGCATCAAGTCTTTACAGTGAAATTTCCCACCAAATGAGATGTTGTCCACATCTGCAATGGCTGGTGAAATTGGAGTACGCTGTTCAATGTCGGCAATGCGTGGGCAACGCACAGGAGGTATCGGAACATACAATTAGTGATATACAACGACTTCTGACTACTTCGAATTTGATATCATAGGTCAACCTACAGCACGCGAATACTGCTTGCTTTCAATGTAATCCCTGGGCCACCGAGCTTTGATTCTGAAAGCTAGAGCTTGAAAGATGTCCTCGGGTACTCCACTTTGGATACAGCCGCATCGTCCACGAACCAGTACAATTGGCCAGGATGCACAGGCCGTACCCGCGATGCTGGGAGACCCTCCTCTGGTTTATCGAGGACAGTTTGAAGTGTGTCTGCCTTTCCAGCACCACTCGCGACAAAGGCAATGCGAGCAGCGTGGTTGATGACAGGATAAGTAAGAGTGATGCGCTTCGGCGGAGGTTTGGGGCTGTCCTCGATATATGCGACCCATCGGTCATCTTCTGTAAGAAGGGGGTGGCCTGGGAAAAGAGACGCGGTATGTCCGTCCGGGCCGAGGCCGAGGAGAATGAGGTCGAAGACAGGGAAACGGGCGGAGTCCTTCTGGGCAAACTCGCGGATAAGCTCCTTCTCGTATGCGTCAGAAAGCTCCTCGAGGTCGTCGGCAAAAGAGGGGTCGATCGTATGTATGTGGTCGGCAGGGATGGGGACCTTGGAGAAAAGCTCATCCATGCAGAGACGATGGTTGGAGTCGGGATGATCTAGAGGCACGACGCGCTCGTCGGCATAGAAGACTTGCCTGTGGCGATGGGATCAGATAGGGTGTCGGCAAGGAGTCGAGAGTGCATACCATTTATCCCACTTCACGCCGGGTTTTCCAATGAGAGCATTCAGTTGTTTGGGTAAAGAGCCGCCAGAGATGGCGACGGTGAAACGGCCCTTCTTCTCGACAGCCTCCTTTTGGGCTTTGACGATGAAATGGGCGAGCGCGTCGCACAATTCGGTAGGCGAGGCAAACGAGCAAAGCACGGGCGATGACGGGGCTTGGGTCGGCATGAAAAAGATGAAAAAGAACGAATATCGGAGGTGCAGAAAGGACGCGAGTTCGGAGGAGGCTCAGAGAAGAGCTGATAAACTCGACTCAACCTCATCGACCTCTTAGCCACGTGCCATACATTCCGCGCGCTGACGTCATGGGCGCTAGACGCACGTGCTGCTCATGCCGCTGCCACTGCCGCCAGTAGCTAGCTTCAGCCGCCGCGTGTAGGCCCATTCTGGCCGCTGTGTTGCCCCCAAAAAGCCTTTATGCACAGGGAAATCGTAAATGCCAGACCATTTTCGTGAGTCCTCGTCCATGGAGAAGCACTCATTTGCAGCCACAGTTCGGCACCATGGAACCCAAGCTATTATATAGATGGTATCCTTGTGTATCGTTCCCACAGCTCTCCCTTCATTATGCACAGGCTCTCTTACGATGACACCCTGGCGACAATTGCAGAGCTTACACTCGCCGACATTGACAGCTTTCAGGCCTCCAGGAAAGGCAAGAAAAATGCGTCCGCCCCCTTATCTGACGCAGAGTTGGCGTTGCAGCTATATGCTGAGGAGGCGCAGCATCTCCTTGGTGTCGCCAAAGACGTTGTCTTTGCACGTAGCATCGATTCTGCTTTGGATTCAGATTTTGCCCTTGTAAGTGAACTGGCGCGAGCTGAGGCGAGCGCTTGTCACGATCGGGACGTGGCCGTTGCCATTTCAAGAGGTCGCCCCCCGCCTCTTGCCCCGCCTGTCAGCGGTCTACCTGCCTTGTCCATGCGTTTGTCTGCATCTTCGAGCAGCTCTCCAATACCAGATAATTTAAACAGTTCTCGGTCAGAGTACGTCGTATGACAATCATTTGATGACGACAAGAGTCACTCATTTGTATTTTCAGAAGGGAGAACATCCTTTCACCCTCTTCTAGCAGGTCCGTTGCACCAGCCACTCCCCATATATCCGAGACTGCAAAAAAGTTAACACTCAAGTGAGCTATTATTTCCAATCCATTAAGTCGTATCTCATCCCTCTCTTGTACACTGCATTTGTAGACCAGAGACTTGTGTTATCTGCACAGACCGCATCCACGGGTCTGCCATCAAAGCCCCTTGTGGACATTTTTATGATGTGGCTTGCCTCACAGATCTCTTTCGCTCAGCATCAAAGGACGAGACGTTGTTCCCCCCTCGCTGTTGCACTCAGCCATTTGTCTTTGCCGACGTTCGACTGCACTTCGATGCAGAGGTCTGCGCATTATTTGAGGCTGTGTCAGTTGAGTTCAGTACTCCGAATCGCGTTTACTGCCATCGGCCCCAATGCTCCGCCTTCCTGGGCTCTGCCACGCAGTCGGCATCCGTCTTCGCTTGCCCCAAGTGCTCCTCAGCAACTTGCGGACGGTGCAAAGCCTCTGCACACGGTGAAAACCTCTGCGCAGATTCTCAGGACGCCGATGCGCAGGTGCTCGCTCTGGCAGAGCGGGAAGGCTGGAAGCGTTGCCCGGGATGTCACAGCCTTGTAGAGCTTATTTACGGGTGCTACCATATGACATGCCGCTGCAGGAAGCATTTCTGTTATGTCTGCACAGAGACGTGGAAGACTTGCTCGTGTCCGCATTGGGAGGAAAATCGCTTGATCATTGCGGCTGAAGAACGTGTGCGGCGACAGCTACCAGTTGGCCCTCCACCTGCTCTGGTACAGTACAGGCAGATGGTGGAACGAGAGGCAAACCGCCTACGGGTAGATCATGATTGTCGACATCGAGACTGGAAACTTCATGGCGCCGGAGGGCGATGCGAGAATTGTCACAAGCACATGCCCCGTTATCTTCTGGTATGTTGTCTTGTTTTCCATTCTCACCCATTGCTAATGACTGTCTTCATAAGCGTTGCAGAGGCTGTCAAATGTTTGCGTGCGTTCGGTGCCAGCGCAACCGTCTATAACACCAGTAAAATCTAGTGGCCATTCCTTGAGGCTGTATGTATGTTTATGAGTACACAATGTCCGTGCGTCCACACATTTACGTGGATGAGTCAGAAAATATCACAGTAGTAGAGTATAAAGCTTGATCACCAGTAACAAACGTGTAGCGTATGTATTACGATATATAGACAGGGGAATCTAAGGTATGTCTTGACGTCGAGCCGTGTGAGGAATAGAGATCAGAGATCACTCGAAGCATGCCCAGCGAATTCGATCTCTTCGTCATCTTTTACTACGAAACTCCCAAACTCGTAATCATCTTCATCCTCGTACCTCGGAGAAGATGAAAGTCCCGGACGAGAATTCAAAGTTCTACCGCGAGCGTAAGCACCCCAGCCCCGTCTAACAGGACGGCCAGCAAAGTCAGGGACGCTTGCCCCACCGGGGGCCTGTGTGAAAAGGCTCCGGCGATATACCGCCGACTGGTCATACGACGGCGAGGCTTGAGTTTCGGGCGTATCCCGCACAAAGTCTCGGTCGTACTCATCCCCGCGGTCAACATCAGACGAACCCAAACTGTTGTCGTCCCCAGAATGCGTGGCCTCTACATCAATCCATGGGTTCGCCTTCTGTGCTTCTGCTACATCTTTGAATTTTCTCTTCTTTCGTTTGGGTGGTGAAGGCTGAACATCAGGCGAGGAATTCCGTTTGGTCTGGAGACGGCGTTGTGACATCGGCGGCATTGCTAACGGAGCCGAAGGGGATGAGTCGATAGAGATCGTAACAATGCGCTTTCTGACCTGTTTCCCCGGCGCACGGACGGCGAATGAAGGCTGTGGAAGTGCATCATCGAAAATAGAAGGTGAAGACGCTGTCAAGCGAGCTGGCAATGCAGGTGGCGGCATCGCGTCGGTCGCACGAATGAATCCAGACGGCGTAATCTTAGTCCTAACAGGAGTTGAACTGACGTTTCTCGCCGGTAACTCGAGAAAGTTCGTCTCTTCGACTGGCAGGACGTTGTGGTCAGCAATGGACTGGCGCTTACGGGACACGTCTTGACCATTTGAGGGGGAAGAATGTAGAATTTGAAAACTGGGATCGTCATCGTCGTCGTCGTCAACCAACCACGCCATATCCGACTCCTCGTGATGATGATGAAGGGATGTGCTACGAGACGATGGGGTAGTTGAGCGCTCGGGCGGGTTGGATGAACCGTCTTCATGCTGAACGCTTGTACCTCTTGATTTCGTATCTATACTCCTCGACCTCGTACTCGCACTCCTTGAATAAACATCTGTATTCCTTGACTTAGGAGCCTCATCTGGGGAGGAACTGAAGGATAACGCTGGTGAGTCCTGACGATACGTGGTATCATAAGTCAGATCGATAACTTCATTATTCGAGACCAGTCGGTCTGTTTTCTGCAGTTGAAGGAGCGGCGATGGTGAAGAATGAGACTCCAGTGTATGTAGAGAAAACTTGTCATGAATTGACTTTGAAAGACTGTCTGGATACGTGATGCCGCGTTCAATAGCCGCATCGTCAGAATCATCGGCTCCCATCCTCTCCAAGTCACTTGCAGACGGTTCAATGGGAAGCTTTTGCTTGCGCTTCTTGGTTTTTGTTGTATGTTCTGATTTTCCAGCAGTCGCAATGGTTTTTGTTCGCTTCGGCTTCTTCGCCTTTGACGTGACGGGGATCGATGACGTGGAGACAGTTCTGCGCGGCCCAAACAAGCCGGCCTCGATCTCCATGTCCTCCTCATCATCTTCACCAGCGAGAGCATCAGGTTCCTCCAGCTTACACTTCTTCTGCTTTTTTGTTGCCCCACCTTTCACTAGCAAGTCCTTGACATTGACGAAGCCAGTCGAAGCACCCGATGGGATATTTCGCTTTGGATCGTCATCCCGCTTGCGCTTTCTAGCCTTCGATAAAGGAGAATCGTCACCATTGGCGATGGATCCCTTTCGGGATGGGCGATCCTCCCGTATATATGCCTCAATGTCCATGATCATCTCCGTACACTCAGGTTTGATATGGTCGGGTAGCAATCGCGGTGTGTCTCCGTACAACTCCAATTCTTCCGCCCGCACAATGAAATGCTGCACGTCCTTGTATTTGTCCTGCGCCTTATCCCAATTACGTTCCTCTCGACCTTCGGCGAGAAGGATATGCACGATGCCATCTTTCTTGCGTCCTGTCCGCCCAATTCGTTGTAACTAGGTTTTATTGAACAAAAATACACAATCAGCTGAATGTCGATGAAAAAAAAAGAAATCACAGACCATGCGGATTGGTGTCTTCTGAGCGTCGTAGCAAACGATCATATCGATTTCACCGATATCTAGACCCTCCTCTCCTATGGAAGTCGACACCAAGACGTTGAATTCACCGGATTTAAACTTTTTGATGACCTGATCAACATCTTCCGTTAGACCTGACAGCAACCTTTACTAGTTGCATAAGTTATACTACCTCAAGCTGCTCTCTCTGGCCAATACCTTTCCTCCCCTGCTTGTCAGTACCCTGACCAATAAAACGTGTCGCTTTGATCAGAGGCTCCTCCCGATTCAACACTTCAACCACCTCATCAACGCATTCTCTAAATGACACAAATACCATGACTCGTGATTGAGTAGCCGGATGCGAGTTTCCGGACGCTCGTCCAGTGTCTTCGTTATCAAACATATGGTTCGCAAAATGCTGTATCAACAGAATGCGCAATTTCTCCATCTTCGGGTGTAATGAGAAACCACGATTCTTCTGCGCCTCGATCTCCTTCAACAACACGCCAAAGGCCGAGTCCTTCTGTAGACCACTCTGCGCAGCTCGGCTCGTAGATTTCTTGCCAGTTGTCCCGTCAAAACCATACACGATTCCGCTAATCACAGTATAGCACATGCCCATACTAGCTTCAAGCTATACCGGTCTGTATGAGATTCACGTAGTGTCTCGTTCATGTATACCACTTACGAGATAGCCCATGGCCCTAGCAAGGGGACCCAGTTTCGCGGCAGCTGCGAGTGCCCACGCAGGCGCTTTCCGTTGTCGAAGCTCTTGACTCGCTGACTGGCATCTAAACGGATGCAGCATTGTGGGGTCAGAACTACCTCTCATAGCTCCCGAATTCTGAACCTGTCTTATCAACGGCTGTAGAGGATGAAAATCGGTAAGTAATTTGCAAACTCAAGATAATCCAATTATCACCTGCATAATCTTCGCCAACAGATCCCGAACCTTGACAACATCCTCGTCCATCTTAATGATATGCTGCTCGGACGCCTTCTTGTGAAGATAAGGGCGTAAGTCAAGACTGTTTTCATCCCGGATCTCGATATGACTTATGTGAAGGCAGTCAACAATAGCCTGGACAGCCTCCGGGTTACCTCCAGGCGTTGCAGTAAGAGCAAGGACCCGGAAATGAGGGTTCTTTGCCATCATAAATCTGATCACCTGGGCATAGGCATAATCCCCGGTGCCTTTATGTGCCTCGTCTGTAATAGCATCATATAAATATGCTGAATTACATTCGGGTATTCACTCGTACCAATCACAATCAGTATGATGTCTCTTGGATCGCAGTTCGCTGAGATAAGATCGCTGAGGAGTGTCTGCGGTGTCATGTAGAAAACACGCTTCTCGGCCCACTGCAAAAATCAATACATATCACGGTTAGAAGAGTCCATGACGAGACATCAACGTACAAGTTTGAGACGTTTAGATTTGGGCGTCTCTCCTGTGAGTTCTGCCGCCTGGGCACCTGGAATACCGCATGTCTGATGACAAGCTTCGATTTGTTGGGCAACAAGGGGTTTCGAAGGGGCCAAAAATATGACCTTTCCTTCCGGAAACCAACTATAGACTAGTGCACTTTGAATGAGAATCCTTGATAGTGAAGGGACGGATGGCGTACAATTGAGCATTACCACTCCAGCGATGAACGTTTTCCCCAAACCCGTAGGGAGAGCAACCAATGTGTTTTCATAAAGGGAATTCTTCACAATATTAAACTGGTAATCCCGCTTAGGTTGATTCAGTGGATAGAGCCATCGCTTAGAAGCTAGTAGGTCCGGCTGAAGTTTCATGGGGGACGGCTAGAAGCGAAAGTCAGCATGGCGAGCTTGGAAGCATTACGGTGCAACCTACAGGTCTGTGCATACAAAATAGCTTGACGTTAGTATCACCTATGGTCTCGTAGTATACAGAGGTGCGCACCCGAGCGGGACAAAGGGTGCCGGGAATTGTTCAAATTCGAGAATTTCTTCCTCAATGTTATCGTCATCGTCATCGTCATCGTCAAATGACATTCTCTGCTTTCCCTTTGCGTTACGTTTCTCAGCTGCCGATTGTTTCCAGCCCGACTTGGCGAACGCCGAGTGGTCCCACTGCTTAGTCTTCTTTGCACGCCCTCCAAACAAATTACGCGAGCCGGAGTTGGTGCGTACCATAGGTGCCCGTGACGGTGGCTTACTGCCCTTACTTGCCGTTGCTGTTTCATCGACAATATCCCCGAACAATGTAGTCTGTACGGCCCCTTTCGAAGTCGTACGTCGCCACGAAGAGTTGCTCGGTCCAGCAGCTGTCTGGTTCTGTCCGCACGGCCCCTCGCGCTTTTGTATCTCGTCAATGACTTGTAAGTCTGCGACATCAAAATCAAAGGCATCAAAAGGGTCGGAGTCCAATATTTCAATGACTGTCGACGTTGTGGCAGGCAGCTGGCGGGTTGCTTTTAGAGGGGAGGATTTCGATGGGAGTACATGAGCAGCTTCTACAGCATCGAATTCGTGCAAGAATGCAGAGTCGAGTTCGTCTTCAAAGTAATCGTCAGAGTGCATGAGAGGAAGCAAAAGTGCCCGATGGCCAAGAACGCGTCGCGACGCGTTGCCTTGGAACGTGACACGTGACACATGACAGTAGGTGCTCCCACTGGTAGCGGCGGCGTAGCGCCATGATGGTCCTCATCCAAACACGTTCTTCGTCCAAGCAGAAGCAGGTTTACACTCATAAAACACAATCATGTCGGCAGACTCCATCGCTCGTTGGAATGCTATTCCTCTTAATCGTCCGGAGACAAGCGCGGAAGACGACAACCAGAAGGTACTCGTCGTGCATTTCTAGCCCCCATGGACGCTTGCTGCATACTGCTTCCCCCCTCTGTCTCTCTTCCAGCGATCGAATATAGACGAGGAGAATGAGGATGAGAGCGACGACAACATTTCTCTCGTGTCCCGCTCCCCCTCTCCTGTCTCACATTCCGCTAAACCAATGGACATCGACAAATATGACGAATATGTCAAAGGCGCAGCGCGCGAGTCTATTACCATCGACACGAAGATAAAGAGCACCAACAAGGGATTCCTCATGCTAGCAAGTATGGGGTGGGTCGAGGGGCGGCCACTAGGCCTATCTGGCGAAGGTATGTTTAGCATGTCTCATCATCAAGACCTGATAGGTCATGGTTTCTTGCAGGTCGTGTAGACCCAGTCCCGTTCTACGTCAAGAACGATCTCACAGGCCTGGGCAAAGCAAACCAGGATGTCCAGATGAGTCAGTGTCAAGCTCTTACATTCCGGCCAGCTCTTAACAGTGATTGTCTGCAGTCGAATCTACCGTCTCCCAACGCCGAGAACTTGACTCCGAGCGTCAGACGAAAGAGACCGAGGAGCAAAGACAAGCACGAGAGGCACGTAACATGCTTGCGCGCATATGAATTGCTTGTTCATCGACCCTCAGAACTCCGTTGCCAAGCGTGCAGCTCTACAGACGGAAATCTCGACCACCCTTCGTGCATTCTACTGCGAGCTCTGCGACAAACAGTTCCGGAATGTTGCCCAGTACGACGAGCATACAAATTCCTATGCGCACCACCACAAGGCGCGCTTCCGAGACATGCAAGCTGCGCAGCGTGCGAATCGCAACACGAAGGAAGAAGTCGATAAAAGGAAAGAGAAGGAACGCAAAAGAGAAGAAAAGGAACTTAGGAAGATCGCGAAGGCCGCCGGCGTGAAGATGGCCAAACCTCCGGTCGCGGCGATGCCGCAACTTGCGGAGAATGCCATTGGCGGAGAAGGCGAATCTCCATCCACCGGCAGCAAAAAGTCAGGGTGGGCTTCAATATCGTCCACATCCCCTGCGGTATCGTCCCCACCAGCCGTCCCTGCACCAGTGTCTGGCCCAGGTTGGGCCCCTGTCAGTGCTGCCCCTTCTTCCCCCCGCAGTTCCGACAGAGGATGGGCTGCCGCCTCCGATACGGCCCATCCGGCGTCTGTATCTGTGCACTCACAAAGTCCGCCGACCCGTACACCCCCACCTCGCCCGTCTGGTCCAGCGCCTGCATTCCGGACGGGCGGTTGGACCTCATTAGACACGGGGAGTGTTGCAGATCTCCCTCCAGCACCTGTGTGTCCTCTTCCAGCGCCACCGCCGATTGCCGTTCGGCCTCCCTCTCCCCCTTTGCCCGTAGATCCGCCGCGCGTCGGTGGTTGGTCGTCTGTATCTGCTCCTGCCACGGAGAGCTCACCTCGAGATGGCTGGAATCGTGTGCCGTCTTCTGTTCCCTCGCCAGAATCACGAACAGCGCCCTCTACAAACGTTGGACCTTCGGAACATCCACAGTCGGTCCCCAATGTTGGACGGGTGCCAGCATCGCATCCTAAGCCACGCGTACCACAGGAAACTTCTCGTTCGGGTTGGCAACAATTTCGTGCGGGAGCGCCCAGTCGGCGCAGATAGAATAAGGTGGTCATCCTTACTTAGTGGTGGTAATGTGCGCAATGAGACGTATGTTTGTTCAAATTGCATCAATTAGCGCACCCTCAGTCTATAGGCACAAGAGGAAGTCGTAAGACAAATAGTACTACTAACAAGCTACAATGCTGGTATTCGTTAATTTTGTATGTACGCTGAAAACCTGTATATAAATCGCCATCGGTACAAATAACCCGGAGCAAGCGGCAGACATGATATACCTGGAACGAACGACGAAAGTTGGATGAGGAGCAAGTCCAAAAGCACCCACAACATCACTCCGAGTCACTGGCAGAACTCTCGGAACTTGACTCCGCTGACGAATGCTCACTATCGTCAGCCGCCACAACATCGCTCACTGCACCACCCCCAGATCCCCGTCCGTCGAACAGTTTGATTCTCTCCTCCAAAGCGCGGATCTTAGCAGCCTCGACATCCTCGTCCATGCTTTTTCGCTTAAGACCACCAGTCCCGGTCCCCTTGCCCGTGCGCGAACGTTTGGTGGTTTGCGCACGCATCGGCCGGATAACAAAGTTGTATAACTTCGTGAGGACTGTCGATGGTAGTTGATCGATCTCGAGCTCAATTTCCTCTGTGCTCTATAACAACGTCCATCAGACATTGCTTCCTGAAATTAAGTCGTCACTTACATCCCGTATCTCCGGCACCCCCTCATGAATAATTTGAATGACCTTCTCGAGCCGATGACCATCGAGCTTGCCAATGGTATCGCTCAAGTCTTTCTTCTGCTCAAACGTGAGCACATCATCATCAGTGATGGGTTTCTTGCCCTTCTTGCGACCACTCGATGCGGCCTTAGCCTGCTTAGTCGTCGACTTGGATGTACTGGCAACAGGCACAACAGCTTTCTCCTTTTTCTTCTTCTCTTTCTTCTCCGGCTTTCCCTTCCGTTTGAGAGTGTCGAGATTACTCCTCATACTTTGGATTTGACTCTCCATGGTCGCGATCATGCCTGCAACATGATAGAGTGAGTTTCATCTAGAGACTAGCACATCAAAATCACGTACGAGCACGATCGTCTTCGCTGTCTTCGTCTTCCTCATCGTCCTCATCATCAGACGCCTCCTGAGATCGAAGAGGAGGAAGCTCCCTCCATTTATCATCAAAGAGCCGATCCAGCTCCTTGCCGGCTTCGTGTACAGGATTCTTTGGTGGATTAAAAGCGAAGCAATTGCGGATCATGAGTTTGAAGTCGTCCCTAAACTTATCCGGCGTGCTGTACTCTCCATCAGTAAGCTTGCGTTTAATGGTTGACAAGTCCATTGGACGCTTGACGACCTTGGGGTACTGAGGAATCTCCAGTTTCACCCAATCTAAGTGACAGTTAGAATTGTATTAAAACGGGCCATTGACCACTCACCGACTGGCTCATAGAAGGGATGAGCAATGCCGTACAACGATTTCTTGTGTAAATCCTTCAAAACCTTCTCACAATGCTTAAGCTGCTGATCATACATATCATTCTTGGGCAACTTCGTTTTCCTCGGCTTCTTGGGAGCATCAGAGTATGGAAGATCCTTCGGAGGCGGCGGATGGATCTCTCGCTTGGGTCGCCCACCATTGGCATTCTCCTCAGATCGACGAATGACAGGGACCGACGTCGAAGGACGACGAACAGGCGGGAGCTTCTTCGCCGGAGGTGGCGGCGGCGGCGGTGTGGCAATCTTCTTTGGAATGGGCTTCGGCTAAGCAACTAGTCAGCAGGCCGACGTGAAACACATTCCATCAACGCACCTCCTCTGGTGGCGGCAGTTGCTTGATTTGCTTGTCAAACACAGCCTCAACGCGCCTGCCCATAGCGGTGATAGGGTGATCGGGACCATTGAATAAAGCACAGTTAGTGAATATCAGCCGCACATCTGCAATAAACTCGTCGACATTGTTGTAGCGGGGGTTTGCAGGGTTCGGATCAGGCTTTGAAGGATTGCACGAAGTCATCTTGCGTTCGACGGTCGAGAAATCCATTGGGTGCTTGACGATAGACGGATAATGAGGAACATTGAGAGCGACGGGGTCAACTGGGTGCAAGAAGGGGCCTGCATCCTTGATCTTCTTCAGCGTCCGTATAGTAGAGGTGCAAAATCGCCATTGCGCAGAACTAATGGTGGGGGATATAGAGCGAGGCAGCGAGGCCGACTGAGCTTCAGGAGAGGCCGACGCTGGGGGTGGAGTACCAGTCTTCAGGACGACGCCATCAGCACGCCCGCAGCGGCGTACAGGAGACGAAATGCTTACGTTGGCCAACGACGCTCTCTCAGCGTCTGAATATTTCCTCGCTCTCTTAGCAGGAGGGGGCTTATCATCATCATCGCGATCACTAGTTGTATTATTAGGGTACGGAGAAGCAGCAAGGGTGTCGACAGCGGTTTCGACGGAAGATACAGCGGCTAACGAATTAGAGGGCGTCGAAGCAGACTCGGGTTTGTGTCCGTTAGAGAGCCCATTCAGAGGGAGCGGGTTCGCTCCACTGTCCGACATCTGCACGTCGCCGTCCTGCGTTGGCGATGCTTCCTCGGCCAGTCGAACATCATCGAGAAGCTGCCCAGGCGGTGGTGGAGGGGTGCCCTTAGGAGGCGCGATGGATATGGTGGCTGAGGCACGATGAGACAGCGGGACGAGGCCCAGCAGAAGTGCTCTCACCTGGGTCGACAGGAGTGCCCACCTGTGGGAGGACAGACACGCTCTGGACAGAGTCCACCTTCATGGGGACAGGCTCGTGTCGCGCGTCAGACTCGCGCTCGATGATGTCGACATCGATTTTGAGGTCGGGGGCGAGGGTGTTGTCGACGGGGGTGGCAGGCGAGTCGGGGGAGAGGGCGTCGGGGGTAGCGTGGCCGTTGATGTGATGTGCGCCGTTCACGAGAGACGCGTCGGGCATGGTCTGGGGAACGCGTGACGGTCACGGGAGTGACAGGAGGGCGAGGGGGCAGGGGTGGATTTGGGGGAACAGGAGATCCGAAGTTGGGCTAGAGTCTTTATACGCGCTGCGAAATAAGGTTCGATCTCCCGCGCAGGGGCCATCGCCTCCCGAATCAGCATTTGCCCCCCCTCCCCCGCCCCCCCTGTGTGTACGTACACATGCAACTATGTCTACGCCTTCTCCTCTTCGTCCTCCTCCTCTGCCTCTGCAAATACAGCGTTCGGTTGGTTCGCCCGCCATGCTGGAAGGAATTAAAGTTCACACGTCAGCACTCATCGCCACAGCCAAACACAGCCAAACACCCTCGTCCAAGTCCGCTAACTCACCTGCCGTCCACACTGGGTTATCGTCTGCGTCTGCGGCCAGCTTGAGCAACGCCTCGCGCGGCTGTCGGCGAAAGCAAGCAGTCCTCGTCAGCATACCTGTCGTCCAAGCACGCGCAGAATGGTGCAGAGCGCTTGCGGAGTCTGAACCAAATCAGGCTCCGAGCCTCCTTCCGTGGCAACGCGTCTCCGGCGTGTCGCTGCGGTAACATCCGGCCTCCCTGCCGGAATCGCCACCGCTACACCAGCCGGAGCGACCGAAGCACAGTAAGATACAGGCTCATCTGCGCATGAATCGCATCGCACAGGCGGATGCGAACATCCAGGGCCGCAAACTGAGCGGCCGAGGAGCTCGAATGTCCATCGAGATGAGGCTGTACGATGATGATCCAATGACGCGCACGAGGGGCAAGTGGGTATCAAAACATAGCGCACGCACATCTTCGTCTCTTGTCGTGTCTCGCACCAGGTTCTGGACGACGTGTTGGGTTGCACTCGCTCCGACACGTCCTCCCCGGCCGGGTCCGGTAACTGGGAGCTCTGGTCGCCTGCTCTTCCGCGGGTCCATGCGTTCTTTCTCTCTCTTGCGCTTGCTGCCTCTCGTCAGCCCATCCCCATCGCGGAACATGGGTAACGCGTGCGGTGTGAGAATAGTTGGAGCGGATACCGCGTCTGACATGTCTTCGATAGTGGCCTTTCTCGGTGGTCCTTTGTTGAATGGTAGTTTTGCCCCATTGATGGATGTCTGCGGTGAGTAAAGGACACATATCTGCCCATTCGCCAACCCTGTGACAATCTACAGTAACCTGCGTGAGAACAAGTCGCATAGGCGCTGTCAATCTCACCTGGTTAATTTTTGAATGCCAGCAAACTTTGACAGGCGTCGTTTCCACTTCAAGCTCCTTCACAGACTCCAAATTATCCTTTCGCAGGAACACCAGTCGACCCTTTTCTCCTTTCGACGACGCCCCTGACCCAGTCACCACAAATTTATCGTCTGGGCTGAAGATTGCATTCGTTGTCGGATACAAAGTCGCTAGACCCCCATGTGCCGCAAGAGGCTTCTTGAAAGCCCGTAAATCCCAAACTGGGCTGGCTTCAGAGCATGAACAGTGGGGTGTGTACATGAGCGCTCACGTTTCACTGTGTCATCCCCTCCTCTGGTCAAGACGGTCCGACCGTCGACAGAAAAGACAAGCGATCCAGGTTCAGTATTTTTCACGTGCGCACCCTCAATGGTTAGACTTGGTCGAACGAAATTGGATTTGGTCTGCCACATATGCAGTGCACCATCCAGACATGCTGAAAGACAGTCAGCACATTCCATTATACGCATAAGACAAGCGATCCATGAAGACACGCACCACCTCCGATGAGAGTACCATCTGGAGAGTACCCGCATGCAGTAACCTTCGTGCGCGCACCACGCTCCTTGGACTTCACAACGATGACTGTTTTCTGTTTTCGCTTGTTCTCGACATCCCATATTCTGTCAACATGATCAATTAAAGTGTAACGTTATTCACCGATGCACTTGCCGTATTGTAGAGTCTACGGAGCTTGTGATGAAGGTCTGTGGATCGTAAGGATGCCAGGCGCAGGATCGCAATTCAGCAACATGCCCCCTAAGATCTACTACTTAGTATAGATATTTCCCGTCGCATAAACTCATACGTACGCGGTATTCTTCATGTCTCGAATGTATGGATCCCCTTTGACAAAGGTAGCCCTACCAGTCAGGTCAGTCTATCCTAACTGAGAAAAGGACGAAGCGAACATACAGCTCCTCGCCGTCACGATCATATAGCTTAGCCTGTAATGTACCTGAAATGGCAAGGAATTGTTGCCCATCGTTGGAGTATTTCAAGTCATGGACCTAGAAGCACCACATTCAACTCTCAGCGGGTCGAGTACATGCTCCTGGAACGCACATAGTAAGTACCCGCGGGCTCCCAAGTCTTGAATGGTTTGCACCTCCAATCCATGCCACCAAAATCCCACAGCTTGCAGTCGTAATCATGGGATCCCGACAGTACTCGCGCCCCTGATGGGTCAAGCGTCAGCGCTGACACTACCTTCGTGTGATCTTTCATGGGTAGCTCATGGGTAGTGGGAAATTCAGGAAGCTCGGAATCTTCGTCGTCTGAGAAGTCAAATTCCGGCTCTCCGTCTTCCAACTCTGGGCCACTAGCCTTGGGTGGTGGAAGGGGACCGACATCATCCGGGTCGAATTCGGGCTCCTCGTTGGGGTCCCCAACCTGTTCTACTTTAATGGCGGCTATCGGGGGCGCAGAAACCTGAAGATATATAAGCTTTCGCGCAACTGAACAACAGTAATCAAACGCGTACCTCCTCACGTCGGCTTTTGTCGAAACGATTGGGATCGAGTTGTCTCTGCTTCGACTTTTTGCCGAAGCCAGATATACCCATGGCAGCCAAGACGTCGACGTCAGACATAGCGAGTGTCTAGTGTGCACTCTCAGCCGCGAAATGAGGATAAAGGCGATTGTCGGCGGCGACGCTAGTCTGCCATGCATTCATTACATAAACCGCGGTCCATTAGACGGGCGCTTAAGCCGCGTAAGTACAATTTGGCCACAACCTAAGCTAGCGCTTGTATCTCTTCCTCAGCTCGCCCTACCTTTTCGTCTGTATTGCAACATCATATCCACTAGCTTCGGGTCATGTTGCACTCAGAGGTTATGTTCAAACGGCCGCGATCGCCCTCACCAATTCCAATGTCGAAACGCAGACGGCATTTCTCACCGCCTCCTGCCGTTAATGTTTGGGCAGGCAGCGCGCATTCGAGCGACGACGAGTCTATTGATCGTGACGAAGAGATGGTCCGCGCGCGACATATGAAACCGGAGAGACGATGGCAGAAGGACGCTGGACAGTACAAGGATGCAAATGCATTCTTACACGACCTGCACGTAGAGCAGAGACATCGGATTCTCCTCTCGTCCTCTACACCATATGCATCACAGTCACAGGTCTTTCAGTCTCAGAGACATCCGTATCCCTCCAAAACGATTCGTGACCATACACCTATATCCTTCTCTTCTACCCAGCATTCGAGACACATGAATTTCCCCCGAGCTTCCGCCTCATTTGTCCCGGAGGCGCCAGGGGCCGAGACGGAGGCAGAGACACGGGACGTCATGCAACGGTATGAAGACACAAATCGGTGAGTTGTCTTGTGTCCTCTGGCTTTACCAGTACTCACGGAAGCTGTTGTAGAGCACTTGGCTCTATCGTCCTCAGCCGAAGGCTAACAATATGCGCAGCTGCAGAGCCGCGCGAAGAATGATGTAACGATCGGTTCTTTGAGCTTTGAGCCTTCCTACTTCTTACTTGTTCCAGCATTAGACTTCGCCTATCTACATTCACCTCAAATTTGTCATCACACTGCACTGCTGTACTTCTCCCATGCATATCCTCATCTCAACGACCCACGATTTCCATCATCGCATTACTTTATTGCATCCACGCATTACCAATCAATTCATTGCTGCAGCAATTTGTAGACATACTGTGCTGTTTACGCTTCATGTAGTCTCTGTTCACCGTTGCTGTGGTCCATCTCTTAGATGTGGGGCAGGCCACATCTATCAGTATATCATAATGGGGTCTAATCAACTGGATAGCACATTCACCGCATCATTTCATTTCACATCAAGTACCATATGTCACTGATTCATGATTCGTGCAAACGAAAGGTGTAAGGCTTACAATCCAGTCCCTATTGACAATGGCAGCAGGGAGTAGGCATACATATCTAGAGTGTATTCGAAAGACTACAGCTGGTATCCATACCGGCACGTCCAGCTGTCAGTTTCATCATCGCCTTCGGTAATTGTCGTCTTTGATACGTCCACTGGACAAATGCAGCATGGTATGCTGTCCATGCATAGGATCATACAGGTTCAAGGCCTGAGATCTTCTCTACGCCCAAACTAATCTCTGCACCGAGGATATTGCTCAGCTCACGGTTCAACAGGTCGCCCATCATGTGCCCATCGCGGTTGTAAACCCAGTCGTCCTGTGCCTCCGAGTAATCGTAGCGCTTCGGTCCGCTGCAACACGAATGCGTAAGGGTAAGTAACGCAGCGAGCGGAAGAACGGTGCGAAAGCCGTCGGCAGTTCCTAAGACCCACCTGAATGGCGAGGAGAGCCAGATCTGTTTGTTTGGCGGCTGCTTGTTGATCACGTACGTTCCCTTGCCGCCGAGCTTCAACGTTAGCACACCGCTCTGGGGATAAGTCCGGGGTGGTGTCAGCGAGAGAATGCTCAAATGCGGCCGCCGACGCAGAACAGAACACTCACGCTGTACTCAACTTCGTACTCGGGGTCATTAAGTCCATCGAGGATTTCTTCGAGCGACTCAAGGAGACGGTCCATCGTCGCGTTCGAGTAGGCATGATATGTCTCAGCAGGCAGGTCACTATTCGTGTTTAGAAACAAATAAATACGTAAGGTCCGTTATGATCGAATAATATTGATGCGTTCAAACGTGAAGTAAGAGATTGGTATTGATGAAGTAGAGTTAAGCGCACCTCTGGACCACTTGTGGCGGGGGTGTTGCGTAACATCTCCTCTGCACCAGCCAGCCCGCCAAAATTAGATCTCCTCCGCCGGTATATCGTCTGTTTCCGAAGTTCTTTCCTTGCAAGGAACAAGGAATGACTGTGGTTGGCTGAGAGACAGTCCTAATACTACTTGCTCGGGGGATGTGCAAGTGTCGAGACGAAGAGGCAGGGGACGAGACGAACGCAGAACGGCTGGCCTGGCGCGCGATCATGGAGGTCATGACTGCATCTGACAAGGAAGAAATCTAGAAAGAGCAGTTATGTATCAGGACGACAACTAACTGCTGAGAAACATGCACAATATGAGAGGCGGACACGCAAAACGTAGAAAATCCTCATTTGAATGAGTCTGAATGGCGTGTGATCGCGCGAGCGACGGGGTTAGGGTTCGGGTGCAACTAGACGCCTTGACAATCTCAGAATTCAGTGCGGAATTAGAAGAGCTTGTCTTGCACAAGTCATTCTGTCTACAACACAATCCACGGTACTTCAAACAACACAAAATCGAAGTACTCCTGCTCCAGTAGCGTTTGGTACTCGCCCACAAAATCATCTCCAGCCCCTCCGCTAGCTTTCGTGGATTTCTTGCTCGGATTTGAGCGGCGAGAGAGGTAGGCGAACTGCATTTGCAACGCTGATAGTGTTCGTTTCGTCGCTTTAGGTTCCGGCTATTCAATCAAGATCAGAAAGGATTGAGATGAAAGAAGTAGAGCTTGGTGTGATTTCAAGGCAAGACGTACCCTGATAAACAACCCTGTGTAGCTGGCCGGTAACCCATACCGCAACACGCTTTCAACAAAAAGGCGCAGAACCTTGAGATGCACGAGAAGCTGGAATGCCTCAGAGAAGTTTGTTCGTGAGAGTTGGAGAAGTTCTGTCTATATGATGAGGTTAAGTCGAGTGTCCGGACAGATCTTAAACGAAGACCTACCCAGAGCTCCTTCTCGATCTGATCTGCGTTATCGAGCTCTTCTCGCTGTTTGTCCACGAGATCATCAGAGTAGACAAAGTCGCGCACAACAAACCTGCGAGGCGTAATTTATGAGAAGGAATCGACGGTGAAACCAGTCCTTTACGAATGTGAAGAATAGTGAATAATACATAGGTTGAATAGCAACCAATGAGATAGATGGAGCAGAAACGCATAAAAACCCATGAAGGTAGAGAGAAGACGTACTTATTCTCACGACATTTATGCAAAAACTCATCATGGACTTTCTTGAAGACGACTACAGAGAATAAGGAATATTCGTCGTCTGACGCAATGAGCCTACAACATACCGAGAAGGAATGATTTCAGCCTGTAATCGGCAGCATACTAAGATTCACTTACATTGAAGACCTGGGGACAACCATTGGCGTAAGCTGTTCGTATTTCAAGTTCCAATCCTTGACCAGGTTCCTACGTGGTGGGTGAGCCCAATCTGGATTCCCCATCAATTGTGAGGCAAGTCGTACTTCGGCACAGCGACGATGAGGGTCTGCATATAGTCTGAGTTCTCGATAAAGTGCTCTTTACGAATGAGATCAGCGAGCGAGCGAACAGATAAATTACCGCTAGGTGAGATGTGAAAGGTTAAAAAGCCAGCTCTCGTCGCGAATTGACAGATGGAACGCACGTCTTCTTCCGCTGCATCTGTACTAGGGAGCCTTTGGCTAAGTTATAGTTGTTGAGTTTATTCTTCATGACGTTGTCTATTGATGTCACCTCCTGCACATTCGGTCAACAGCAATTAGCTCTCGAATCCAGAATTGAAGCAGTGTGATCTAACCTTGTTCAGGACGTCTACCATGTCTCTGAGTGCCCTCTGCACTCCGTATCTGCCTTCATTCCAACGCCAGCCAGAGAGGAGGTAGGAGTCGACACTAGATTCGTTAACTTGTACGTGCTGTGCCAGCTTTGCGGGGTCATTGTTGAGGAGGTTGCGAAGGGTATCAACGGTCTTGGCCACTGTTGCTGTGAAAAAGACATCGTGCTTTGGGAGCTCCTCCGAAAGGGTGATGAGGGAGTCGAGAGTTCCTGTCTATGCGGACATTAGCTCGAGAGCGGTTGGTCGCACAAGAGATGGACCTTGAAGGCAGGTACGGGAAGGTATCCGAGGGATGCGGCGGGTGACCTAGAGTTGGTCGCGAGCTTCGCGGCGAGTTCCTGGGGCACTCCCTCAGCGTCACCGTCGGCGGGTACAGCGACGAGCCAGGTGCTCTGATCAGACGGCATCGTGGGCGGACGTCAAACGAGCGCCCGTCATCGTTCGTGACGATGACCGACAGAAGTCTCAGAGTCGGGTTAGGGTTGCGACGAGCGGGAGGTATTTCCGCCATCTCAGGCTCTCACGACGTGCTCGACCGCGTTCTCGTTTTGAGTTCTTATCAATGTTTGCCCACTTGCGCCCCGTTTCCCTTCGCTCCCTGTTCTTAGCTCGCGCCCGCGCCATGTCCAGCTCTTCTGGCTCTCTCTTTGGTGATGCCTGCCCGCTCACCATCACCCCCGCCCAACTCCAGACACTCAACCCCGACTCAGTTGCGATTCTTGATGCAAGCTGGCATATGCCTAATGCACCTCGCAACCCCCACTCTGAATGGCTGAGCTTGCGCATTCCCGGCTCTCATTTTCTTGACCTGGACGCAGTTGCTAGTGCTCATGAACTTGGATTGAAACACATGATGCCATCCCCACAAGTCTTCGCCGAAGCTTGTGGTGAGGTTATCACCTCCACATTTTCTCATTTTCATCACTAATCAATTTTGTAGAGACGTTTGGGATCACTCCCAGATCCCACGTAGTGATGTATGTACACATTCATCCTGACTTGTTAAGTGACCTATCCGCACAACGATAGCTATGACACACACGGCATATTTTCCTCTCCTCGAGCCCTCTTCATGTTCCGTGCGTTTGGCCACTACCGCTCCTCGATCCTCGATGGGGGCCTTCCTGCATGGGTTGCCCATGGATGCCCCACTCGTTGCGGCGAACCGGGATCTACAACACGTTCGAACTACTGGACTCCTCAGTTGGACACGGATGTAGTAACAGGTGCGTACAATTTTTGGACTCTATACGGACCGCTGGAGGGCATGGCACTCTATTGCGGCCACACATAACATACATCTAAAGTTTTGTGGATATCATATAATAGGTTACAACGAAATATCCTCCAATGCTAGATATGATCCTGCGCGCGAACCCATCGCCGACATCGTTCTTGATGCACGCTCTCGTGAACGGTAAGTGTGTTCCAGATTTCAGCTCTCCCTCCCTTTAGGCGTTTCGTACAGCTTTCAATACCCCGATGCCTTGCAGTCAGGCTGGTATCTTACCCACCTCATTATCGTCTTGCTCCACTTTTTGATAGCTCTATCTATCTAACATCTAATCCTACAGCTACCTTGGCACCGGTGCAGAGCCGCGGCCAGGCCTCTCTTCAGGCCACATTCCGTACTCCTTCTCACTTCCGTTCACCATGCTACTCGACACGCAACGTATGCCCACTCCTCTGCCTGTCACATCTCTGCCAGTTCTCGATTCTGATCCTGATGCCAAACCATCGTCATCGCCCGCCAGACCGCCGTTTCCCGCTTGGCTTCCGGAGACGTATACAACCCTAAAGTCAACGACACGTCTCATTTCTGCTATCCAGGACGCCTTGAGCACGAGCGGCGCGAGCGATGTCCTAATTAAAGATGTCTTGGAGAGCCACAGGAACGTTATCGCGAGCTGCGGAAGCGGAATGACTGCGGGCGTGGTGTGGCTTGCTCTAAGGATGCTTGGGGTCGGCGACAGAAAGAAGCGGGTGGGGATATACGACGAAGTGAGCGATCATTCTTGTGCGCCCATAGATGGAATTTTGACTTGTTAACACGTATAATCAGTCGTGGACAGGATATGCAATGCGTCCGGAGAGTAAAATAGTGAAGGAAGATAACGTAAAAGTGTGATATAACAGCGTTGGTAACCTTGCTGATTTTGACTACGCTGGATGTACGTTGTTGTCCATCAGCCCTCAGCTTCATTCATGATAGATCAAGTTATAGGAACCCTAAGCTATACAATACAGTTAGGCCAAGAAACGTGCAACACAGCCAGCATCGGTAACGATACATATTACAGCATGTCAATCATGATGCATCAGGAGTCGTAAGTTATGCACAACCATATGTTGAACATTAGGAAATGGTTCCAGCCTATACCCCCACCCTGCGAAAGACGTTGCAGAAAAGCAGTCTCTTTCTCTTTCTTCGGTCTTCTTGTGGTCCACGATGGTTGGAGTTGGAGTCTGTTCTGTTCTCCTGAGGACGAGAGCGCGGCCCTTCGGATCCTCTATCTTCACGGCGGTCCTCCGTCCCACCGAAGTGCTCGACTTGAGCTTGTGCTCTCCATAGATCAAGCACTCCCGGAAACGGCGGAGAATGTTGCATAGGAGGATTGCGCACAAGCGCGGGACGCCCAGTATAAGTAATATCAATTCGATAATGTTGACGGCGGTCATTGGGTTGGTTCGAAGCGCGTGAATCATGATGCCGTAGTGAGCCTGTCCTATGGGGTCTTCGAGGAGGGGTCTTGCGCAGGAGGGTTATTGACCATCTATTTACAGGACGTGAGACCGTCACGAACTGAATTCGTAGCCGGAGAATGAGGAGGAAGAAGTATAGGGATACGAAGCAAAAGCGTTGCTTTGACTCACCCTTCCGTTAGGAGAACATTGTAGCCCATCCGTGCAATTTCGCGCATAAGGCGAGTGCGTGCGTATAACAACGCACCATGCGAGTCAGCATGCCCCTTCTCGTGCATAGCATCGCGGTCAAACGAGTACAATGCACTCTGTTCACAGTCGTTGACACGAATAATATCCAACTCTGTTCTAATAATCAGCGTGCTGATTGACCAACGTTGAGCATGGTTCCGACCCCACCTCCTGAGCACTCGTGCATTGGCACAGGCTCAACACTTTTTGCAGTGACGACCTCCCATGGCTTCTCTGGCTCCTTATGCGCAATCCAATTTAGCATAGACCACATATTGCGCAGTATCAATGTCAGCGAAGCTCCAACAGGTGGCGGATTGCAAGTCGGAGACGAGGGGACGAGCGACCTTGACGCGCGAAGCCCAAGTGCTCCGACGACTGTGCGGATATGCGCGACAAGAGGGCAGGACGAGGACGTAGCGATATTAGGAAGCGATGAGAGCAGACACCGTCTTCGTACTAGATGCTATTTGTGGTGTGTCTGGATGAGTCGATCCGACCTGAGTCATGGATCACAGAGAGCAGCCGGGACAAAACGCAATGAGGGGGCGGATGAGATATGTCAACGCTCGTGGATGCCACTAGCATAGCAGCCGAGTGCAGCCCGAGCCCCTTGAAGTGGAGACCGTCGACGTTGCCCTCCGGCGCCGGAGCCGCGCGTTGCGACGATCGCGGACGACGCTCTGGCTGCTGCTCTCGGAATGGTCCCGCGCTCTCCGGTTACCAACACTACTTACGCCCCGAAAAATGCGCCGAAACGTAAGGGTGATTGCGAGAGACATTCACATTAGGCTACATTTCCGAACTTTATACAGGGCTCAACAAATACAGTACACCAATGGCACACTGCCACAACAACCTGGATGCATTCCCATCACCATGTGCCCAAGCATACTTCACAGCAACTATAATGGAGCGATCAGCAGCAATTCTTAGAAAATATGAAGCACTAGAGAACCCGGAAGCGCCTCAGCAAAAATTAGTCGTCACTCCCACCTCAGATTTCTGAGGTAGGTTGGGCTCATTAAATCATAATAGAATCATGGGCAACAATGGTAATCAAGAGGTCCACTACTCACGTTGCAGTACCAAGATACACCCCACCAATGGACACCCAGTCGAACATGTGCGACATGCGGTCAGATCGAGTGAGTCAGTGGGAGGGGGAAGCAGAGGGGACATATCCTGGCAGCGCAAATTTATCTCTGAAATGACGCGATCATGTGAGCCATTCGCGTCGCGACTGTTCGACTTCAACGTTTCCACGGTTCAGTTCGCGTCCAAGCGACAACACTGACTGAGCCGGCAGAGACAACACATATACCTCCTTCCTCAGTATTCAATGACGGCCGCAACATCGAGCTCAGCAACAAGCAGATTAACTCGCCCAGTGCCCTTCACACCCAGACGGCCCGTCTCGGCCCATCTGGAAGCCTCCACAGACGACCTGCAAAGCACCGGGCGCATACCACGGGCTATCACACCAAGTCTCCTCGGTTCGGCGAAGAAGTTCAAGGCTGCTCTATCATCTGAGTCGAAATCACGACTGGTTACGAAACCTAAGCCCGTATTGCCGTCAGTACCTGGAACACCTACCAAGAAAGGCTCTCCCGATGGCTCCAGGCCGAAGACACCAACCACACCACGCAGGGGGACGGAAAGTCCGCTATTGATGCCGCAGGTGAGCGAAATGGATGTCAGCAGGGTGGACCCCGAAGAGGCTCTGGTAGACTTCCAGTCCATTGAGCCTGGGGACATCTCTGGTGAGATCGACGAAGCCGCATTAGCAGACTATGGCAACGAAGATAAGGTGCTAGTTTCTATCCGGTAATTCAGTTTATCTCTGCTACCAATCATGGCCTACATAATCCATCTCTTGTGCAGAATCCGGCCGACACAAGCTACTTCTGCCTGGCAAAAGTCTACTGCAATACCTAAGAGCATAAAGCTTGATTCACATTATGCTAAATCGTCTACGACTGCCCCGCAAGAATTTCGCTTTGATGAAATTCTCACAGGCTCAGATAACAAGCCAGTGTATAATGCCGTCGCCCGTAGCCATGTTTGTGCTGCGATGGACGGGTACAATGCTGTCATCTTCGCCTATGGACAGACAGCTAGCGGCAAGACATTTACTCTCGTACGTATTCGCGCAAAAAAACTAGCCTCTCCTTTCAACTTGTGTTGTGTCATAGAGCGGTGATGAGGATCAGCCTGGTATAATCCCCCGCGCCATGAAAGACATCTTTGCATATATCCGACGAACGCCTACGCGGGAATATCTGCTACGATGCTCGTACCTAGAAATCTATAACGAGACGATACATGATCTTCTCGCCCCTCCATCATCAAGTGTCTCGCAGCCAGTGCAAATCCAAGGCACGGGCGCGAATATAGTACTTACACCCCTCCGCGAGGAAGTTGTGACAAGCCTGAAGAGTGTGCGCGAGGTTCTCCAGCGTGGCGAGGGTAACCGGCGTACCGCAAGTACCGACTGGAACGAGCGGAGTAGCCGGAGTCACAGTGTATTCAGAGTGGTCATCGAAAGTCGGGAGCGGGGGGCTGGTGGCGATGAAGCAGCAATTCCCAGTGGACGAACGACCCCTGGTTTTAGGCCCCCGACACCTGGCGGATCGCGGCTTCAAGCAAAGGGAGGAAGAAGTGTGCAAACGTCTGTCCTCGTACGTTACTGTTTAACGTATGGTAGCTGCGCGGCCAGCATCACTAATATAGCCTTTTAGAGTCTTATTGATCTTGCGGGCTCTGAAAAGGCTACGTCTGACAAGGAGCGAACTCGAGAAGGCAAGTACATTAACACCAGGTATTTTGAAAATTATACCCCATCTGGTTTATGGTGATTAATGTGTACAGTTTGCTAACTCTTGGCACCGTCATTGCTACTCTCGCGGAAAATTCTGCGAAGAACAAGAGGTATGTTGTACCAGATCTAACTTAAATCATGAGGGGACAATAAAGATCTGCACTCATAGTGACCATGTTCCATTCCGCAACTCCAAGCTAACACGAATGCTGCAGCCGTCACTATCAGGAAATGCACGTATATCCGTAATTGGTACCATCAATCCCGACATGGGCGCGATAGGGGAGACAACGAGCACTCTCCTCTTTGCTCAGAGAATCAAGAAAGTCCAAGTAAGAATTCTCGTCGTTCCTGCCTGAAGTCAACCTGACACCGCTGCTTAGTTGCACGCCCAGAAAAAGGAAATCGTCGACACTGAAGCTCTCCTGGAACGATACAGAAAGGAAATCGAGGAATTGAAGAAGCGACTCACAGAGAAGGAGGCTGATGCTCCTGCGCGCAATCGCAGGCTTTCCGCTCGCGAGGCAAGTTGGTGATTCCTGTGTAGCCATGCTTGGTACTTACCTTCCCAACTAGCAACTGGATGAGTCTCGAGCAATGCATGACTTGAACACGCGAATCAAGCAGCTGACGAAACTTATTCTCACAAGTCAATCCGTGGATGAAACCAAGGGTGATGAGTCTCGACCCGCAAGTCCAGCGAAGGTCGACTTCGACCTGTCTCCATATCAGGTACGAATATATTTTTACTCGTGTTGAGACACCTCATGCCCATTCGGTGTTTAACAGTTGCAACAAGAGCTGCTTGCCGCGCGGCGGCAAATTGAAACACAATCAACGCAGATCCTGTCTCTCGAGGCAGCACTTCAGGCAAGGCCCCAGTTGCCCCCCGATGCACCGGACAGCGAAAAAGACAAGTTGCTGACGGATCAAGCGAAGACGATCCGTGAGCTCGAGGTTGTTATCAAGGGATACGAGGAAAATCTTGGCGAGCCCCTTCGTGCAGTACGGGAAGATGTAGAGAAGGAGTGGATGGCCAAGCTTGAGAAGGAAGTGAAGCGCAAAGAAGAGAAGGAAGTATGGGCGGACGAGCTCGTGAAACAGCTCGAGAAGGAGAAGAAGGCGAGTCTTTTGTCGGGTCTTCCTGATGGCTTCGAAACTCACACTCACTGTCAGATGCGCGTGAAACTTGAGGAAGAGCGGCAGGCCCTCGCAGCATTCGTGCGCAAATTTGACTCCCTCGGCCTCGGCCTCAGTAGTGGTGTCCCCCTCTCACAGTCAAAGCTCCACCCGCCAATGCCCACGCCTGGTGGCGCTGCGGCCCTTTTTGCGCAGCGACAACGCAGTAGAATACAGCCTTTAGAAGCGGACACAACCATGGCGATTGTGGAAGAGGTTGATTCGCCAATGCGATTTGGCGCTGGACAGCCTAGTCTGCTCGAGGAGGAATGGGATGCTGTAGATGATGTGAGCTTTGGAGAGGACAAGCTGATACTCCCGTTGAAAGGTGGCTCACGGAAAGGATCACATAGCCCCGTAAGAGATGTATTAGGTCGAAAGGAGAACGTGCCTGTATAGGATGTATCTGCGTGTACTTTGATGTCTTTGTCTTTTAGTGTTTTCCTAGTTGTACCATGAACATTTGGATTTTTTATTTGCGGTAACATGAACACATGTGTCGGTACTTTGACAAGCTCACCACTATAGCAAAAACTCTACCCTCATGGAATTATGCCTATAACCATCATACGTTGCATGTTACTATTACACATAATATGGGTCTACAAGTACAAAATTAGTACACGGCGTTCTCTGGTAACTTGTTATCTCGTCTCACAGCCCACTCTTCACCTATAAAATTACACAAATGGCTACAGATGAAAGCAGCCCATCGTTATACCTTATACCTTCGCAATCGAAGCTTTATACATGAACCCCAATGCCAGCTACTTCCGACTTGTCGGACGTCACCCTGGTCGAGCACGAGCTTCTCTTTGTCTTCTGAAGATCGTTTTGTCGTCGACCTCACGAGTAGGACTACGCCCGTAGCTTCTTCACCGGTAAGGTATGCTTTCTCGGTCTCCTCTCCCCAATACTGAAGTAAGTCGAGAAACGGGGGAGGTAACCGCTCCCCTGGAGTATGAACGAACGCAGGTCGGGCAATATAGCGAAGGGCCATTCGAAAGAGGGTATGATGCGTAGAACGAGAGGGCTTCCGAAGAAGTGTGATTGACCATCTGGGACCCTGGGTCAATCCAAACCAACATGCCAAGCGAGCGAGCGAGCAACTCACCCCTCAAGCAACAGCGTGTTATACCCAAGCCGTGAGGCCTCCTGCAGGACGCGTGCGCGCGTGAAACGCAGCGCAGCCTGGAGGTCGACCTTGTGGCCACTAGTATCGTCCTCGTGCACGTACTGTGTCTTGACGTTGAAGACGTACGAAGCTTTGAGGGAAGTATGGCTTATGCGGATAATATCAAGACCTGACAAAGCAGAGAATATTTTAAAAATGTGATTGTGAAGGAGGAGAAGCGAGACATACTGTCTTCGTCGTCGTACATCTTTACGGGATCGACGCTCTTGGCATCCACCACCTCCCAAGGCGCATCAACGTCGGACGAACCGGACCAAGGCCACATTTCTCAGACGGAAGCAGGGAAACGAAAACAGACTGCTAGAGAATTTGCACTTGTAGATAGCAAGCAGACACGCTACTTATATGGAGAAGAGTCCAAAGGAGAGGAGTCAGACGACGGCGAGCGGAAGGCTGTGCACCGCCATAGGCGCGGGTCTATGGCTGCGCAAAATACTGCGTGGAAGCCGCGAGGCAATTACTTATAGTCTTGAGACGTTGCACTGGAACACAGGAATGCGTAAAACAATATACATGGCGGGATCAAGTTAGCGCAGACTCCCTGTTTGACGCTGTGTTTATTGGGCCAATATTGGGCCCTGAGACACGGAAGGACGGCGGCCTCAGCTTCAACAGACTGCGTACATCAGCGGCACTACTTTCGCAACAGGGAGAAATGTTTGACGAGAGTTACAGCTGGCTGCGAGAGGGATGTATGTGATATTCAGAGCGGCTAGTGATGGGCTTAAGGTTAACAGAAGCGCTAACGCGTTGTATGCGTCACGTGAACGCGTCTATGTAGTAGGGCAAACAAATTCATGGATCAAAAGTTGATCATAAAGAGAGTGGTGTTACTGTATCATATATGCAGATACTAGCAGTATACCCGTGCTTACGCACGGTTGCTTCATCATTGAT